GGGTTTATCATATCATATTGGGGTTTATCTCGGGTGTATTTTGTCACGGGGGGTGATCCTCTTGAATTTGTGTGGTATGTTTTTTTTGTTTTTCAGTATATGAATACCAGGGTTGATAAAGCTACAGGTACAGCAAGTAGAATAAGGGTTTCTGGGCGGTATAGTGTGTCAATGAGTTCAAGAAGGGAAAAAAATGTTTTGAAATGGATTGTGATAGCAATTGCACAATCCTAACTTGATGTGATTAGATTATGGAATGATATAGCTGTATTAGCTCCCAGTAAAATCATCTGGGGAAAAAAAAGTCTTCTTTGAGCATTAAGCTCTTTTAAGAACTATCTATGTGGGATCAAAGTGACAACACAGCAACTTGAACATACGAAAGTTTAAATCTTGCGAGCTTATGTTTGTGACAGAACAACTCAGAAAGGGTGAGAATGGTTGCACAACTTAAAGAATAGAAGAATGTCTTGGACTGTACTGGTAGAAACGATTGAGTTGGTATACTTTTGCTGTGTATAATCTCAACAATTTTTTTAACCTAAACTGTATTGCTGACATTTTAACCGTTAATTATGTAAGCTACAATAAAGAGCTTTTACCCGTTCTACAGACCGCGCCCTCTTCTTTGGCCGAGTAGGCAGTGCATCCTCCTTCGGATTGTTGTCTATTGCCCAGTAAGACCCCTAAAGTTAGAAAGAAAAATATTACATTCATAATATATTATACAATTCCACAAAATTAAAGTTGATTTTTATAATCCTCTGCTTCAAAAAAAAAAGGAAGCTCAAGAATGGAAAAGTAGAGAGCAATGAAAATATAATTCTGTACTGAGAAAAAGTTATATGCAGGGAAAAAAACCTGTCATGCGGGAATCCAAAACAAACTTATCCATCTTGTAAACACTGACTCCAAATTTCCTGTTTCTCAAATGTATTACTTTCTTATTACTTTTGGCCCCTTTTCTTATGTCTTTACTATCTAAATGTAATACCAGTTTTAGAATTTAACTATATGTCTAATAGATTCTGGTTCTTCTTGTCCTTGGATTGTCAAATGATATTTCAATTTCGACTACTCATAACTCTGCTGAAGGATAGCAATTCCTGCTCTGTAGATACAAAACTTAGACATAAAAATGAAGCAGAATGATCAATTTTTAAAAATTTATTTTCTTATAAGCATTCTTACAGCCATAACAATTTCAGGATTT